CGTCCATTACAAAAGCATTTTCCAACGACGATATAATTCGTGTTACTCCGTTTAACAAGTACTCACGACGGAGGGACGCGTGAGATATCGGCTCTGAAAGAGGTTCAGATGGTCGCAATACCATTTACGCGAGTGCCGGCACGTAGTTGGGACCACGAAAGGTAAGGTTACTTATAAATACATCCTGTTCAAAAATAGATCTCGGACTGGCGCAACTGCAAACCGCGAATCGTTCAAAACGCTGCCGGATATTCGGACAGTTTGGTGGAAACGTTCCCTTTGACGAAAGGAATCATCCATCGCAGCAGCCAAGCCGTCGACGATGCACGTACTTTGATCGATTTTCAAAATTGCTCGGTGCAAGATGTGCCATCGTCGAGGTGTATCCAAACGTCGTCGACTTCGATCCGGTCGTTCGCATTCGTTCGAATCGCTATTTTCTCGAGGAGTTTCGTCGAATAAACTTGCCGGGTCTACGGGCATTGTCTTTTTATAGGTAAATGCTCTAATGTCGGCAACGTTCGTCAGAGGGTTGGTAAAAAGCTTTTAGAGCTGAGAATTTTTTCTTTCCGACAGCCACTCGTACCCACGCGTCCTAGATACCTTTCTCGTGCCGGATGCAGGTTTTCAACTCCGTAACATGCACCGTTATAAATCAAAAACGCCCGCCATTGGTTCGTTTTCCTTCTAAGGATAAAAAGAACTGCGAAGAAGGCGGGCGAAATTAACGGACAAGTAATTAGTTGGCAGAAAATCGTTCGAGGATGGTTGAGAATGATACTCGGTATGAGATGATCTTTTCGTGATTTTATTCCGTATCGATACAGGTACCTCGTAATAGTCGTGCAACTGCAAATTGAAATGGAGTTAATTGCGTTTATCGAATAATGTGCAATTGCTGTTATCGAAGTAGGAGCGACCAATGTGAACACAGTTTGATATTTCGCTCGACGATGGAATCTCGAGTGGCATCTCGCGAAAGAAAATCGTGTAACGGAAACGACTCGTACTTGCGTTTCTGTATTGGCAGTAGATAAAACAGATCGATTTGTACTTCGTAAGAAATGTTTCACCATATCTTCGTATTTTGACGGTTCGTCGAAATGACAACTAAATGTGTAAATCCAAAGGTATTCAGGTAGCATGCGTTCGAGAGAAGTTTTCACGGCCGCGGGAAACGTTACCAACATACCGTAACGGAATCGTTGCCCGTTGTCGGTGAATAATACGGCAGAGGTTCTAATCTCCGACGCTTTTCTCGTTTATCGAACATTACAAACGCAATTTCGTTTCTGTCGTGTGATCTTTGGCGTCAAACAGTGTCGTATTTATGCAAGTTAGCACTATGCAACTCATTGAACCGCAATGGAACCGATATCGTATCTGCGACCGCGACTTAAAAATATGTACTTTTGCGATTACGTACTATGTTTGCCTATGCGTCAGTTTGTTCGTGCCTCTTCCAACCGACCAATTCGTAAAATCTATGATGACCGATCGAATTTTCGACTATTCTTCGCTCCTCCGGAAACGTTTGTCTTCTTCCTTATTCACGTACAGATGTTTCCAGAGGATCAAAGTTTCACGAGAAATTAAGACGTAGCTACTTAGCTGATAAAAGCGAGCTCTAGTCCCTTGCACGAAGTTCTAATTAGTGAAAATGAGATAATTGCCTTTGCAGAAGCTATAAGAGGAAAAAGAGATCTTACAATGACCAATTGCACGTTCTTTCGATTTCTTTTATCCTTTGCCACACGAACGTAGAGAGAAGGAAGTTGTTCGATCGTATTGCAAAGATTCAGTTCTTTCACTTGCACTTTTAACAATTTTTATATTCCATTGATCGACTGTTGGATGAATATATTTACGTGAGCGACGTGTTACGACGATCGATTTGTAATAATCGAACGTTTAAATTTCTCCAAATGTTTTAACTCGTAAAGAATAACTTCACAGCCTGAAGCTTACTTGTCCGATATGGAGTTCCGAGCGCATAAGTTTCGAGGACTGCTGACGCGATGATTTCATTTACATAAAACATGCATATATATGTATGTATATTGCGGTAAACACAGTTGCCCGACTGAGGCGAAAGAAAGAAATTCCGCAGTTTTGTATAAAATAACAAATGAAAAAGGTGTTAATGCAAAGATCGGCGGGTAGGAAAGGTGTAACTTTGATACGGAAACTCGGGGTTAAGGAAATTGACCATGGAGTTACTTCGGACTGATAAATATGCGCGCAAAGACAAACAAGTCGATGTCCCACCGTGCGCGGTCTGCATAATTATTTCCACGGCAATGTTTTTTGCAAAGCGTTTCTGGGAATCGTATCGCGTTGTGCCTCTGATTATAGGAACGAGGTTTTTATCGCTATTTTTATTATTTTATATCTTCGCATTACATATCGTCGCGTCGTTCACTTTCGATCTGAGAATGCGACGTTCATCTTTTACAGATGTCATCTTCCGATTTGCTTCTGCCCGACGACTATTCCGTCGTCAATTTTAAATCGTACAAGATGCACGGACGACAAACGCAGTTTCCGTTGAGCACGCAACCACGCGTTTTTAAGTCATCATTGTTACAATTATTCAATCAAATTGTTTAGAAACTAGTTAACCTATCGGATCTGCGATGCAATCATACACCACAGTGAAACTTGGCTATTCTTGGCCAACAAATCGAATTTCTCATCTCTGTGTACCGAAAAAGGAGAGAACTGGCGAACGTGCACGTTGGGAAATTACGAGGCTACGATCAAGGTACCAGGAAGTCGAGATCTATCACGAAGGACTCATCAGAAATTCTTTTTTCCTTCCACAAGGTTACAGTCGCTAGCCTCTTCTCGTTTGTATTCTAGGCGACTTTCTACTTTACGACCTGCATTTCGTGTCCTCCGATGACTCGTGTCTTTACCATTATCACGTAGATACGATTATTATTTCCTTCAAACAATAACTTGATACCGGAAGAACGAACCGACGCGACGATGAAGCGAGGCTCAAGCGAGTTTGTACCTTTCGCTATGTTTGTTTGCATTCGAAGCGACGACAACGTGATTTTCAGGAGATCTGTAACGTTGTTGTTGATCGATGTAACGTAGACCGATCGATATCTCTATCTATATAGATCGCAAGCACGCAACGAAATTTTCGTGTTTGAATTCCTTGAGAAAGAACGAGGAGACGTAGATTTCGGTGCAACGAATTAATGGAATCGGAACGTTGGAACGCTTTAGGTTTACCGTCATTAATCGCGGGTCATTCTCGTAAGTGGAAACTAGGAATTTCATTTGTTGTAAGACCAGAGAAACGAAATACCGTTGTTAATTTCCGGTGCTTTGTTCTCCGCAGCCGTGTCGGTTCGTTTCATTTCCGTTCGCAAGCTACACCGCGCTACTGGTCCGAATTGATGACCGACAAAAAAGAAAAAAAAAGGAAAGAAATTAAAGATATCGAGAAATGACAGGGCATGGAAACGACGCGACGACCGATAGTAGCCCGGCTAGCGTCATTTCACGTTACGTGAATGGCGTGACCGTCATCGAGAAAGCGATAGACTTTGCGATTTTTCGCGAACGTGATTTGATCAGAATTCGATATGCACGTGCTCCTGACGTTGCATCGTCCTCGTTGCCACGGTCTTCCCTCTAAGTTTCATAAATTTATGGAATCCCTTCCATTCGTGGCGCGATTTTCTCCTCCTATCCCCACCGGGAAGTCTGCCTTCTCTGGGAAGGGGAATCTATTTAAAGTGAACTTTGACGAATAGCCGGCCATAACGTTACATCCCGTGGTAACTCTCAGTCGAGAGCCGGACTTGGGCCTGATTGAAACGAGCGAGGACGACCGAGACATATTTTCCCAGAGATTCTTCTTCGAGAACGCAACACTTTCACCGAGATGCTTAGGGGAATCATTCTCGTTTTCGTAGCTCTGCTCGTAGTTGCCAGTGCGACCGAAGTCAATCAATGCGGCACTGGTAAGTACAAAAGAATCGACTCACCATTGATCTAGTTACACGCTGTTTGGTAGAATGGCACACTATCAGTGTCAACGCGCGATGGTTAACTTCATCGATTTACACGAACAAAATTAAGATGTTAATTAGGAGTTGGATGTTAAACGTCGATAATATTTCAATATTTGTGTATTCCTCTTAGTATGTGTTTCTAGCTTTCGTTCAACTTGTAAATATACACCGCGTCTCATAACTATGAAGCTTGATCTCAAATTTTTGGAATTCTCGTACGTTGTAATTAGCACCATTGACCGAGGATTTTCATGCAGATTTATATTTTTAACAATTGCACTAATGAAGTGGAACTTAAATAGGGACTTGGTTTGCCTATTAAAAATTATAACGAGTATTCCATTTCGAATATTTTATATATTTTTGTATAGTACGCGCATTCCGTGCACGTTTCCACCTCTAAATCTTCCGTAAATGCATAAAAATTCATCCGCGGTCTAATTATCATAAAAAAGAGCGTATGAGAAATTGCTAATGAGTGTTTGTGGTATTTTATATCTTGTGCTTCTGTGAGAATTGAAGATGTTACGACAGTTTCATACTGATGACATACGGTGCATAGAGAAAGTAAAATAATGCCAAAAAGTTCATGGAAATGTCGTTTAATAAATTTGTTCGTTTAAATCGTATAATTTAACCATTGTGCAACGTACAGAAATTTCTCAGGAAATTTTTGTGTGTAATTCGATTTTTATCGCACAGAAACTACGTGGCAACTGGTTTTTTCAATGTACGCTTGTTATGTCATGCGATTTGTTCCAAGGCAACATGAAAAAGACCATCGTTCGTCCAAATTCTATGTATAGCCATTCACTGTCGCCAGCGCATCTCCTACTTTTTGTATATATTTACGCAACATATTTATCTGTGATAGCCGTATGTGATCGGAAATTATCGGTTCGTACAAACACGGATAATGTTCTTGTTGTCAAGACAACAATGAAAATTTATTTTGTTCGATAGCGATGTTACACGCGTTACATATCTTGTTTCGATAATGATTTCATTCGTTCGAATCACTACAGAGAAGAGAGAGCGTAAAATTGTTGTAACGTTGTAGATTCGTAACGTTCGACGTTTATTGTATAAAACACGATACACTTAACCGCGTATAACTAAACGATCTCGGTCATGATCGACGAGTTGTGAAAACTGGATCGGATCGTTGTATCTTTCCTAATGCAGACATCGTGTGCGGAGGTTACAAAACATGGAAAATATTTGTTCGTGAACACGTGCTAAGAGATTCGTTCGATTCTAAGAAAAGGAAACATCAACGGCGTGAAATTATGCAATACGATTCCGGTTTGCGACTTGCGACATACGTATCAGAAATGGAATGATTTTTCTAACCGATGAACATGTTCGTAGGAGAAAAGTTCGAGGATTCCAATCAGGTTAAGATAACCGGTTGCGACGTGCCACCGTGCAAACTGAAGCGCAGGACGAAGGCAGCGGTCGAACAAAAGTTTGTACCCAGCGAGGATGTCGAGAATGTAGTAAACTCAGTGAGCGCCGCCGTTGTCGGAGTACCGTTGCCGTTCATCGGCGTGGATGGGACGAGTGCATGCGACAACATTTTCAAAGTAGATGGAACTCCAGCGGGATGCTCGCTGAAGAAAGGCGTTGAATATATCTACAAGCGAGAGTTTCCTGTTTTGCAAATTTATCCAACGGTAAGCGCTGACGTAAATATCGTCTAAAAATTCATACGCTGCTCGTTAATCGAGCAGATTAAGCATTATCATAACCAGTAGGCCGATCTAGTAACCGTCGATATCGTGATCGAGCCAAGTCAGAGACGATTTCGTAACCTGCATAAAAATAGTAAACTTTATTTTCTTGTTACACGAATACGACTACGTATTGAAAGGCATACGATGTTTCGCAGATTTCTATGGTTATACACTACGCGTTAATGGATGGAAATCGCACGGTCGCGTGCTTCGAAGTTCCAGCGAAGATCACCAATTACTGAGAAGAGCTAGTCGTTTCTTCTGTGAGGTCGTGTCGAAGTTGCAGAGGTCACGGAGATGCGCCTTTGTATCGAAAATCCATGTACAATAAGATAGACAAGGTGGAAGACACACAGAGAGAGAGAGAGAGAGAGAGAGAGAGAGAGAGAGAGAGAGAGAGAGAGAGAGAGAGAGAGAGAGAGAGAGAGAGAGAGAGAGAGAGAGAGAGAGAGAGAGAGAGAGAGAGAGAGAGAGAGAGAGAGAGAGAGAGAGAGAGAGAGAGAGAGAGAGAGAGAGAGAGAGAGAGAGAGAGAGAGAGAGAGAGAGAGAGAGAGAGAGAGAGAGAGAGAGAGAGAGAGAGAGAGAGAGAGAGAGAGAGAGAGAGAGAGAGAGAGAGAGAGAGAGAGAGAGAGAGAGAGAGAGAGAGAGAGAGAGAGAGAGAGAGAGAGAGAGAGAGAGAGAGAGAGAGAGAGAGAGAGAGAGAGAGAGAGAGAGAGAGAGAGAGAGAGAGAGAGAGAGAGAGAGAGAGAGAGAGAGAGAGAGAGAGAGAGAGAGAGAGAGAGAGAGAGAGAGAGAGAGAGAGAGAGAGAGAGAGAGAGAGAGAGAGAGAGAGAGAGAGAGAGAGAGAGAGAGAGAGAGAGAGAGAGAGAGAGAGAGAGAGAGAGAGAGAGAGAGAGAGAGAGAGAGAGAGAGAGAGAGAGAGAGAGAGAGTGTGTGTGTGTGTGTTTGCACGAGAAAACAATCTCCATGGATAGAACGATTCTCATGTAGTTATGTTTATGGACGAGCTTCATCAGTATATGCTGTTTGCGAGTAATTGTAATTATTAATAAAAACATTTATATAGCTTCGCCGCGACATTCCTGCGCATCATTCTCAATGGACTATTTTTTTATCGCAATCGTCGTGATTCTCTTTTGAAACGTCTTGAGATTGGTCGATTTGTGAATTAACTTTTATCGCCTAGGGTTAATGACCTTGATAGGCGGCGAGCGGATAACGAGTAAATAGGAAAGCCAACATCGTCGGGTCACGATGAAGTGGGACTCGTGGAAAGCGTCGATAACATAGGGAACTGGAGGTTTCGAGTTGGCAGCTACTGCCGCGCACGGGTAACTAGGAAAATTGTTCGGAAGCCCGTGGACCTCTCCGATGATACGGACAGCGAAAGTTGGAGTTGCATCGTGGAACCGCGGTGAAACCACCGATACCGCCGTGAAAATTAATAAAAAGTGCAGAAAGATGATAACTCTCGTAAACACTTTTGCCGGGGATAACAATCTATTCGATAAAGAAGGGGAAAATGCATTTCAACGATTCGACAAATCGTCAATGCCCATTGCAACAGATTGTTTTCGCAATAAATCTTTTTACGCAGATTATATCCCGGTAAAACATCGAAACATTGCTTTCGCTATACACGTTCTCGGATATTTGATTCGACTGCAAATTTGACGAAAAATCGAAGGGGCCGCGATAACGAGTTGCCGGCACGCGGTATTTACAGTGGCTTTCATAAATTGCGATCACTGCGAACGATCTGTTTTCCCCACTTGGTTATTTTCCTCGCGCCGTATCTCATCGCGAATTACAAAAGTAAATTACTACTGTCGGCTGATCGATAACATCTCTTCATTAATAATTCAATTACAAACTGTTCTAACGATTAGACGTAGTCGTCGTTTATTCTGCCGCGACATTTACCTGTTTTTATCGTCGAATACGATTTAGTTCGAAGCTGGTTCGAGGCAACGAATCGACGATTAATCGGTGTGGCTCACCCTACTTTCGAGAAGCTGGTCATTTTCGAAAACTGATGCAAAGTTTTCTGAGTGGGTAGCTTTTCTAAAGATCGAGTAAACGGTATTGCGTGAAAGAAGGCGGCGCTCCAATCTTCGGTCCGGATCTCACGGAACCAAAACGTTTTTACCCATTCGCGTTGCGAGGCCTGCGAGGCTAATGGTCGCGTTAATAGCGGATTTTTGTGTGTAACGTCCCTCGATCGAGCCTCGAAGAGTCGCGATTCTCGCGCGAGGCTGTTGTTCGTGCCAGCCACTATGTCACGTAATCCCATGCTGCGTTCCGATCGAGCGTGATTTTTCTACAACTGTCACGGAAATGTGTGTTAGGCGGCGATAGCGAGCCCCGTGTCCAATTAATTTACCCCTTCCTTGCTTGACCGTTGTCCATCGGTAGAAATCGAACGTAATTTCGAAGGAGAGAATAGCGGCGCCGGAACACGCGCTCGCCTTTTTAGGACGTTGCGAAAATTAAAGGTAGATGTTATTTCGAGTCTGTGCGCTCTTATTTGGCTGGATTTTATCGTGAAATTTTCAGTGCGTTTAAATTACGTTGGAACGTAATATACGCGACATGGCCTGTGCGCGGGTTCATATGAAATTCATCGCATCCGCTACATCGTTTGGAGAATAAAAGTGAAACGTGAAATATTTATGTCTCGTTCGAGCGACAGCTTCCGTATCGATAATACGTACTGCAAAGTACCGATGAGCGCGCAATGTTGCGTATTCGTAACTTTGACGAGGAAACTAAGCCAATCGGAGATTAAGAACCGAGAGATTGCGAGATAACGAGAACAGGCGGAAAGATCGAATTTGCCTGTTAATCTTTCGTCAATGGTCTTTCCGTCGAATAAGCTGCACGTGATCCGTGACGGATAAAGTCATTATCGTGAAAAGATGGTGGCGGTACTCGCATAACCGGGCAACTCTTTCGCGTTTCTACACGTTCACAGATACGATCGTGGAGTACGATACACGTACGCGCAGCCTCGAGTAAGCCATTCCCTCGTCGAAAAGATAGCTTTCAGAAAGCGCGAGTGGCATTCCTGCCTTTCAGAAGCTTTTAAGATGACCATGATCCGTGACACCAGTCCGAGAGCATCTGCTTCCTCATCCGCCTCCTTCGCCCCGAGGTCTCTCACCCTATTTCGATCTCTTCCGCCCCGCTGACCCTGTCCCTTGCCTCTCTCCCTTTTGCCCACCCAGTTTGCTCCCAACTCTCCTAAACCACTGTAAACCACCTTCGACACCGAACAAAAAGCGAACACTCGTCCACGGATGACCGAGTACGCGTAAGTATCTTAAACGCGACTGTCGTAAGCTTCGTCGTTCAACTTGAACTAAACCAGCTTGACCATTCTCGCCTCGATTTTTTCTCTTTTCGCTCACCGTTCTTCTCTTCTTCTTTCTCTTAGACAGTACGTTTCCCAAATTTTTGCGCGCCTTTCACGTAACCTTTGAATTTGCGATTTCGAGTCCTTCGCGAACACCGAAGCAATCGCAGTATCCCACGAGAAACGACCTCGGAATATTTGTGCACGAGAAATTGATCGTTGATTATCGAATCGTGAAAACATTCGAAAGAAAAATACAGAACCGTATAGATAGCTATGGCATTCGTCTATACATATTATAAAGTAGCTATGGTTATCGTTTTCGAGAATGTGAGCAAGTACACGAGCGGAAATTGTTCTTAGCTGCTTTTCGTTGTTCGTTCGTGCAGTTCACAAATGTTGTCTATCGAGTCTCGTACAGATTCGATCATAGTTAGAGAAATATCAGGCGGAAAGCTTTGCTACGATGACTATCGTCGATTAAACGATGTATCCACGTGATTAGCTTAGACTCGTATTCGCGATCGAGAAGAAGATTGCGTTACAGTCTTGGAATCGGTGACCGATCAAATTTAGGATAACTCCGGCCAGGGAGGAGGTCGGTGTTATCGAACAAGGTAAACGCATGTGCGTGGCATTCCGCATCCGTTCCCCGGATGTTTACCAGCACGAAGTTCGCACTATTCGAACGCATATTCTTTCGGCCGTAGGACAAAACGTCCTTTTCTGGTTTGGAATCGGAGTAACGGGATAGGCACGGTGTACAAGTCGAGCCCCTTTCATCCCTTTCGCCCCACCCGCAGCTTTTCCTCCGACACCTCCACCTCCTCGGGAGGCTTTGCAGGCTGCGCGTCCGTCGCCGCGCCGTTTGCTCGTCTTCTCCGTCAGTGTGCCGTCCGCCGTCGGTCGAGGACCACGTGTTACTGCGTCGTGTGGACGCCTGCGCCGTCGGGCTACCCTTCGCACTATCCTTCGCGCGCCTTCTACACCCCTTTACCCTCCGCGCGATCAAGATCCGTACGAAGTCACCGCACCGTGAGTGCTTAGTTACCGTCTTGTCGGAGCACGCGTTCGTTTCCAATCTGTTTGTCGGAGACCTCGGCCAAGAGACTGGACACGGTTGGTTCGCGCACACGTGTCGATTCCCTGCCGATAGCGACAGAGACCTTTCGACGATGAATTATCGCGTGTACACTCGCGATAATTGCATTCTCGCGTAACTTTCAGACTTGGAACGGATATCTCGGAAATAAAGGTCGGTCGCCTCGACGCTTCCGACGAAGGCCGACGAGATTGCAAAGAAAAAGCGCGCCAAATCGAGAAAAAAGTAATAGGACAGCCTTCTGCTTACTGGATGTGCAAACTTGGCGACGAAGCGATCCAGCGATGGTTGTTCTCGCTGAATCTTCGCAGAATCGATTTCAGAGAGTTCGCGGCCATTGACGAGATTGCAGGCCTGTGCGCGGTCCCTGTCGTTGTTTGGACCTGTTCCAGGCAAACCGAAAATCTGTGGCAAGCCAACGTGATGGAACGTCTCCGCAGTGCTTCGTTTTTCGTTTGGATCACCGGAAGAACGTGTTAAAATCGGCGGACGATCGACGGATCGATCGAACCTTATCGCGCCCAGCGTTTCTGGAATCTGCTTTTCACATCCTGCAACCAACCATCTCGATCTTTACGTCGATCGGCGATATGGCTGGAAAAGATCGTAACCCTTCGTAAAGTCGTCAGTGTCACCAAGAGAGGCTTCTGCTTAAACGAGAACTCGCAACGCCAACGACAAAAATTAGATGTCCCGTAAAACGTCTCGTGCAAGTGTCTCGTCGATCGTGAAGAACCGTAATCGGTTTCGCAAAGAATCTTCGTAGCAGGTGGAAGTGGTGGCCCGTGGCAGACGTTGGAAACGGATGCAACTGGTTCGAAGAACGTCGCTCCAGACATCGCGACCGAGGCGACGCTTTTTTCCAAACAACGCTGGTCGATTGTGCGGTGAATTTTGCGGCCTCGGTGGATATAGCATGGTCACCGGTGATTGTTGCGGATATCGTGCTCGTCGTTGTAGGTTATTGGCAATAGTGGCGCATAGTTAGGTCGAAAGTGCGGTAGATTTTCTAACGGCACGGAGACTGGCACGTTGATGTGCAACGCTTTAATAACGGGCGTACAGTGGATGAAAGAAAGAAGAGAGAAAAAGAGGAAAGCGCGGTGCTTGCGGTACGTGGCTGTGGAGGCGGTGCCGCGGCAAGTTTAATTAGTGTTTAACCAAAGAGGAAAAACACGAGAGTCGGTGGATAGAGGAGATCGGAGTAGGCCAAACGTTAACGCGTGAAATCGTTGCCACACGCGGTGAAGTTTCCTCGAAGAGAACATCGCGTTTCGACATCTCGGTGGACAACGACGCGTGCATCGTTACACGAAATGGGATTTCGGTGGTGTTGGAAAGATGCGTGACTCGAACCGATTTACGATGATCGTCGGCGAGGACGCGAACGGACACTGGAAATTAAGATGAGAGTGCGAATAGATCGGGAATAAATCCGGGTACCGCGAGAAAATGACTTAACGCGTTACGTACCGCGAGGGTAGCAACAGATAGAACGAAGCCGTTCTCCGTGGCTTACCTTTGCTTTGGCTCCGAGTGCTGGGATTTGTGACGAAGGTAACAAGGAATAAACAAGGAAAGAACATGTGGAGTGTACTGTTACTCATTGGACTAACGAAGGCTGTTCCCTACGTCGCTGGTATCGCTTCCACCGTCGACGAGAAATCGGGTGAGTCTCCTCCCTTTTACCGTTTTTCGCCGCGTTCGTCGCGTCTCTTTCCATTCTTTCTCTTTCGTTCTTTTCGTCTCTCTTTCCCTCTTCCTGTCTCTCTACGCTAGAAGCGCAGCTTGCACGTAATTCCTGGTTGAAACATTTTCAGAAAGTGTCGGCGGCGGAAAAATTCGTCCGTATAGGTATCGTGACGTGTAACAGGGGAAGCTGTTATTTACAATAGTCCGGCGTATCTGGGACGGACATTCGCTCGAGGCGATGCCCTGTAGTTTTTCCCAGCGCGTACGAAAGTAATAAATCGATGAATCGGAATCGCGTGTTACATACCCTCGAATGCTTCAGCTCCGCCAACGCCAGTCGTTTATCCCGGATTAGAAGTTTCCGGTCACTAGATTCTTCGTCGATCGAAGATCGGAAACGTAGCGAAAAACGTAAAGGTCAGCGACCCGGCCGCCTAACAAATTTACGCGCGATTCCTGCTTCCGTGCGCTTGGATCTCACGGCGGACTAAAATCGCGGAAAGGAGCAGTCGATACGTATTTCTTTGTACCGATGTTGCTCCGACTCTTAAGGATGCCATTGCCGCATGCGTTGACATGCCGAAGAACGGACGTACCTCAATTTGACAGAGTTACAGCTCCATCGCGAACCTATAGCTAGGCGTTAATTTAAGATTGCGCGTGAATTTGATAATCATTCGCGGCAATGACCGACTTCGAACCTCGGTCGCGACGTCGCAATTAGCGAGATTGGAGAGATACGCAAGCTTCGCGGAAACGAATTTACCCGGCGATCCGAAAATAATGGGAAAGGGGATAACGCGTTTCGAGATGCCGAGGCGGGATGAAGTTTCTCGTTATCTGACGATTGAAAACTTAGGTTTGATCGACGCTGAGTGTCGCCACGCGACGTCTTCGGTGCTCGCAATCAGATTCGTGCCACTTGTCCTTTGACGCGCGGTTCGTGTATTGTCTTCGACGCGAAAGTTCTCCGACTTGGAGCATCTCCGTTCAACAGCGCTCGGAATTCGATTAAAGCGGAGCGAATCTCGCGGTTGAATCGGTCGTCCGATCGATCCGATCTCCGAGACGCTGCGATTCATGGAATTCCGATCGTTCGTGACCGCGATCTCTACGAATTCTTTCCGTCTATAACTGCCGTTCCTCGTTCATAACGTTCGCCTAGAATTCTGTTTCGCGACGACGATGCGAAAGAACCGCGAGTAGCCGAGAAATGTTGGAAAGTGGGTCGCGCGCGTGTCGAAGGAACTTGAACGGAAGAAGGTGACGCGAAGAACGGAAGTTGTCCGGTGTAACGGGTAAAAGCCGCTTGTGCAATTTCGAAAGTTAAAGGGTTCTCAGGAAACACGTTCCTCGATCTTACGAGCGTGTCGTCCGGTCTGTAGTGGTTGGCTTGGTAAGCAAGGTCAGTGCGCAGTAGCGAGGCGGGGCGCCACAACGAGTTTGTCAGTGATCGCGAATTCGCGAAGGCTGGGACGGTTCTCGGTGCGGCCGCGCGAGCTGCTGCGAACGCGCCGACGGATCGACCTCGTTATTAATTATTGATGCTACGGCAATAATTCGACGCGGTAATAATGATCGAAAATATGATAGCGCGGAGATATACGTGGCGACGGGTCTGCCATCGTCCCTTGCGCGATCTACGGTAAATATATTCCTGTAACGCAACAATTATCGATGGTATCGTTTATTATTGCGCGTTCGTCCAATTCTCGCTCGGATAAATACTAAAGCGACAAATTAATATTACCGCTATAGTTATCCGCGGGAATAATGAAGCCCTTTCATTAGTCGGTGGTACGCATCTCGTGCCAAGAGCGACGCGCTCGATTACGCATTACCTCGTAAGTTTCGTTTTTACGCCGTGCTCGCTGTTTGTTGTCGAGGACGTTGATCGTTTTAACCGAGGCGAAATCGCGTGCAGCGAATCGTTTCACGTTTACCGAAGGAAAGCAACGTCGCGCCGTCGGTGTATCCGTGTTGTTCGGAAATGGACGACGTCCCTTTTTCATTCGCATGGCGCGCGGACGGACAACGCTGGGTGGAAATCGAAATGCGAGGTCGTGCGTGGAAACACGCCGGAACTGGCGCGTGGTCGAAAACTCGATACGACCGAGAGAAGAGCGTGCTGGGAGTATCGAGGGTTCGTCGACTTTCTTTCCCGGGAAGGTTTAACGAACCGATCCGCTGCAGTTTCCTCGCCGCGGCCGGCCTTCTTCGTTTCGCTCACCGGTTTTCCCGCCTTGTTCTTTTTCTCGGCTTCTTATCCGTTCGCGCAACCCAACTTTGACTTCCTCGCGGTTACTTCATTCCTTAATTTACCCCTCCCACTGGTCGGTCATGGACGCTTCTCTTGTACCATCCTCTTTCTCCGAAGCCCTTTCTCGCCGACACGGTTTTCCTTTCGCCGCAACGTCGTTCTCCCTCGTTTGCGCCAATAAAATATCCTTTTTGCCTCGCCGTGTCGCGTCGGCGATGGATGTGACGATGCTGAACGAGGGACGAAGCAACCAGGCTACAACGAAGCGTTTACGTCGTTGCGATTGTTTCTTCGCGTCGCCGATACCTTTTGCGTTAATCGGCGTTTTTAGATTCCTCGAAGCACCGACGATTTCTGCGGTAGAAAAATATGCCACACACACGCGTTAAGGATTTCTCTTTCGCCCATTTTCTTCTCTTTTTCTTCTTCCTATGCGCTTGTTTCCGCTGCTCGTTATTTATTTCCCGACATTTGGCACGTCGCTGTTCCGTCGAAACCGCATCGGCGAAACCGATTTCTTTTCTCTCGCGCGTTTCCCCCGTGACCATACTCGCGAAAAGCAGCGTGCCGGTTTTGTTGATTGTATCCGAGCGATGAAAAATTTCCCGAGTATCGCGAAGCACTCGTTCGCTTGTAATCCAAAGCGACGCGGCGCACCAACCTGTCCGCCGTGGTCTAAGCTTGCGCGATTTAGCGAATATTACGGACAATAGGAAATGCGAGTCGTAAAACGTCGACTCGTCGGTAAGAATCGCGCCAGTCATGGCGCAAAAATCACTGGGCAGAAACGAAGTGCGCCGCTTTTTAAAGGTAACCAGAAACATAAAAACGAAATGTCTATGGTAGTAGATGATCGCGATAAAAATTCCTTTCTCGCACATTTGCTCGGAAATTTTTAATTCATAGACATCCTTCCATCTGCTAATGGATCGTGCTCGATTTTCATTCGATAGTATTAAAAAAAAAAAAAAAAAAAAAAAAAAAAGAGGGGAAATGGAGAGAAACAATATATGTAAATCCTGTAATTTCGAATATTGAAATTGTATCCGATACATAGTCAAATCCTGTCGTTCATTGATCGGTCGTGTTCGCGCAATGACGTTCCACGTAACGAATATAGGCGCGTCGAAAATGGAAGAGCAAATAAATTTATCGCTTTTTTCGCAGGTACTTTGGCGTATTTCGATTTTTCCAACTTATTTATGCAAGCTTTCATCCTTTTTTCTTGAACCGTTTACCAGCCATATTGAGATTTGGCGTCGTTTTGTCGGTGGAATACGTCGAATCCAATATTTCTCAACGTATCTCGACGCGACGCCGGGTGCATTGCCACCCCTCTCCCTCCTTGATTTTCACAGGATGCATCTGGGGGGTTTAAGCGTGATCCTGTCGTGTCGACAGCTACAAACGAGACGTCCTATAACAGTCAGCATCGAGGGAGTTTGGACCAAGGAGCGTAGACAATTCCTTGCTGCGAAATTGCGCGTGAATGTCTCGATTCTATTCTCGTTCCTTTTCAACTCGCGTTGACGTTGACCGTGTCGCGGTTTAATCGATAACAGAGCAATTAATCAAGCAGCTTCTATTTTCCCGAGGAAACTCTTTGGTCTTTATCCTTTCGAGAACGTGAAAGAAACCTCGACTTACGTGTGCATTTTCTCTTGATGTCGTCGCGATATCGGTCACGTACAATGACCTTTCTGACATGTTTGCACATGGTTGAACAGAGTTCGCACTGAAACTGTTTCAGGTTATTTTCTATCGGCCGATTCTCCTTGTGTCGCGTCTCGATGAGAAAGAAAAAGAGTTACGGGCAGCGGGTGTACAAGTTACTATTGGGTTAGCAACCAAGTGATTGCAGATTTTGTCATTAGGTGGTAATGACTTAGTTGTCAATTCGATAGTTCGGTTTTGTCCCGATGGATTCTTGCGAAATACGAATTTAGAAGACCTTAAAGACGATACTATTCCAAGTTTTGCCACTTACGAAATAATCGCGATAAAGACGACGCGTAATCGCGCGAATAGTTGCCGCGCAACGATATCGGCGATTCGATGCGATCGTTACGGTATATTACAGGTAATTATCCTGCTTGGAGAATCTCATCGATGGGAATAGTTGGCGTTGCGTCATCGGCGAGCGTTCTGTCTTCGAGTAATTCGCTTTAGATCTCCATTGACCATTGACACTGTTCGATACTCGACTCGTCGTCGGATTACGCTATGTACCAATGGAACAAACAGAACGATAGAAGGATTTACAGGTTGTTAACGGGAGATTAATTTTAAATTTGCTGGAATGTCGATACTCTGGCTTCGAGTAGCTCGATTCATCGTCGATTCACGATGTTTCGATTTTCCTTTCAGACTATCGCGAATGATTTTCTGGCTACTCGCCGCTCTCATAAAACAAACTGCTCTCACTGTTTTCATGTTCCGTTTTCTTGGTTCGCATTGACCGCGCAAAATATTACTTGTATTTACTTGGATAATGGATCGTTACTCGTTCTCAGCGTCGCTCCAATCATCGGAAATCGTTCGATAACGAGGCGAAAAACCGGTGAAAGTATGGTCGATCATCGATTTCTTACCATCTTCCTCGGTATCTTGGCTAGCGCAAATACTGAACTAGCGAAAATGTAGTTTTTGTCGATTATTCGATGGACTTTGCGCATTCCACGGATATCGAACCGGCGCATCCGGCCTTCTCTCCTTCGAGGAACTCTCGCAGGTTTTCCATTGCGGGCCAGTTTAGTAGCTCGCTTTTCCCGCTCTGGCAACAATGCTACCAACGGAGATTCATGGCTCGCGTCGGGAAACGAATATAAAGACAGCGAGAACGGAACAGATGTCGTTTCGCGATCGATTTATCTCGAGCTATCGTTAATATCGTTAAAATGCTCGTTTTTCATCGGACAGACGTGCGGTGCTCTTGTGGGTCGGTGGCAGCATCGTTGGTTGCCGACGGGAGGAAACGATATTACGAATTGCCGTGAAAATACCACGACTGCAAGCTTCGCACGATATTTACGCAGCATTCGCCCATATCAGTTCGCATCAAACGATAATAAATCCATAACGAAATTATTACATCGCATATGCAAATATTTGCTAGCGCTGTTAACCGTAACAGAAAATTATAAATTCATGAGAATAAAGTAGTGCATTAATTACTCTTATCGGTAGCAACGAACGTACGTCCAACTACTCTGCTCTGAGCATCCGTATATACTAATTTTCTCGAGATTTATCGAATTCCTGTGTATCGGCGATCGGTGATTGCAATACAATTTCAACCGTTGCTGGTTGAATGGACATGTTCCATCGGATGAATGCTACCTAGACGGATCTGCGAATAGACTAAATGCAAGCCTCTCATAACTAAAACCAAATAACATTTATTCACTAAGACCTGCACCGAGCACTAGAACTAACGTCGCATCTATATTAACCGTACCGCCGAGGGTGTCGATCTTACGACGCTTAGATACTCGACTCTTGCATCGTCCTGATTCGGGTATTTATGCCGTAAACTGAGGTACGCGTGGCT